CCCAATTTCCGAACCCTACTGCCTTGCTATATATTTTGTTTATGTTCACTATGGAAAAGGGAGGATTTTTTTTTAGACAAGAAATTTTTTAGAGCAAAGAGCTACTCTAGCGGAAAAAATAAATAAGTAAAAAGGGGCTAAGAATACAAACAAAATACATTCGAAATAGAGGAGAGACTAGTGTGATTGTGGTGTGGTTTCTTCCCCGTCCATACGAATCCTCGTAATCTAGTTTTGGTGGTGGAGTCGTCTGGTGGCTAGCTCGTTTTGCCCTGTTCGCTGCCCATAAGAAGGTAAAAACCTTTCATTTTACTTCTGCCTGTTTGCCCTCTGGTTATTCCGCATTTCCTCGGTTTATGCGTTTAGCCGAGATCTCTCAATCTGGAATTATGGTTATCTTTCGTGTATTCTTTAAATGCGTAAGCTTGGGCTATTTAGCTGTCATTTGTTTACTGCGGGGTTCATTTGTGAAGCGTCTTGAATGTTGACACTTTATTTTTATTTTATTTTTGTTTTACTTACTGATTAACCGAGTCAATCTTAATATGTCCTATTATAGTAGTATGCTCCAATTTTTACGTGTAGCGTTTTCCACGGCTCATCTCCCTGCTGTTAGTTTGGTTAAGTGAAGGTGTTGTAGTTTTAAGTGGGTCTCCAATGGCTTACATACCAAGAGACATCTTTGTATTTGTTATATATTCGTATTGAGTGATTTTGCATATCGGTTTGCGGTTGAAACTTTCTTTAATAGAGCTTTAGTTATTAGTAAGACTTTCGTTACTTCGGTTTTGTATAGCTGTTGGATTCATATCGCGGGTTGTGTGCCTTCCTCGAAGAGATGTTCCCTTTAGCATAAAATATTCATAGATGTCTCTCTGTTCAACTGGCCATTTAACAAATATGTACATTTGGAAAGGACCGATTAATTTTTCTCAAATATGTTATTAATCGTGATCACTTGTATTTGTTTATTTTAATATCGCTGCACGCAAGTTGTGGCTGGTCCCTTTTTACCTATGGTAGTGGTTTAGGCCCCATGCTTGGTTTATTCATTTATTTGTTCACCTCTTCCGTTAAAAATTCGATGATTTGTTTAACTTTAACGGATTTTGTAATTTGATTATTATTTAAGAATGAAGTTCACTATAGTTTACATGCATAATTTATTTATTTTTGGTTATTTGAAAGCATGATGAATTATTTATTTTTTATTATTTTTTTTCATTGTTTACGTGTACTGTTGTTAGTCACCATTTTAATTGATTGATTTGAACAATCAGTGTGCTTTTCTAATCACTCATTTAAGCTAGGTGCTTCATATAATGTGACTGAATATAAAATATTGTTTTAATTATTAGCTTCTTTCTTTAGCATGTCTGCTTATTTAATAAGTTGAATTACATTTATGTGCTATGGGTTTTGAGTGTCAAATAGTAGCTTAAACGGTCTCTATTCTAGCATGACTTGGATTTGGTACCTTTGGGGTTTGTATCCTTTGGTTCAAGCCCATGTTGTTTAAAGTTCAATCGAGTTATTCACTTTGTATTGGCTTAGGGGCGGTTATGATTCGCTTTAGATATGTTGTTGCTTTATTATCATCTGGTACTAACCTTTATTATCGTTTTGTTGCATGTAAAATCCGTCCAAGTCCTCACGGACTGTATCTTTGCATTTCCAAGGGGGGCATGGAGGCCCCAAAATTCTTGTACCGAGTCAGATCCCCCGAAAATTTGGCGAACAGGGTTTGGAGCAGATATACAAGATCGTATATACTAGTATACATCTAGTGTATACGAAAGAGGGAAAATGGGCCTAAAGGCCCCAAATTTCAAAAAAAATAATTGTATTTTGTCATTTTGGGTCTATGCCCTTGTCATTAAATTTTGCTATTACTTTGTTAGTTTTTAGGGCAAATGGAAAATTGGGCCTAAGGCCCAAAAGAAATGATGATTACTTTGTGTTAGTCTAAGACAAGTGCAACTCAAATAGGCCGAAGGCCCAAAACAAAAATGGGTCCGAATACTGGTCCAGGCGGACAGAAACCAGATTTGGGTCCAATCATCTTTCCCTCTTTACTTTACTGTGTTTGTTTTGCGTGTTAGTATTTGTCGTTAATCTTAGGGTCGAAAAGTTCAAATCCCCGAAAGACGCTCATTTCGTTTTAACAATTTAACTAAATCGATCATCTTTCAAAAGACTTAAAAGAATAAATTTCGAGAAGTATCTCACTTAGATCATAGGTCAATACTTCCCTTTTTCCCTTTTATAACCGTCTCAACTATAAAATAGTTCAATCGTTCTATTCAAATTAAGTTAAAGTATTTTTAGCCAAATAATTAATTGTCGGATAACCACATTAGTGGACGTTTTAGGTGCTTTCAAAACCTTCCTACAATGTTAATAAGAACCTCGAACCCTTTTCAAAGTTTTCACTAGATTCCTGTATTAATCTTGTGAAAATGAATAGTTTTCTTGATTTTTCTTAAAAAATTAAGTGGCGACTCTTTAAACCAGTCAAAAATATATTTTCCTAATAAAACAACTATTAGTCTATTATATGAAGGTCAATCCGTAGTTTATCTATTGTGAAAGTTTCCTAAGTATATGATATATAATTCTATGTCAAATTAATTTTAGATCCCATATATTAATACTATTTCAAAATTTATCCCGTTAATTGGTTATGTGTTTCTTAAACTATAATTATGCAGTCATTATTTTGTCTTTTTTTTTTTAATTCTTACATTACCAACTCTATTTTTTTTTAAATCTCTTTAGAATTGTGATATTTTTGTTTTCTTATTTAAGTCACAATTTTCAAGATAAAATTTGTTAAATAAAACTATATGAATACTTATGTTTAGAAAACATTATATATAATTTATAAGGAAATTACATACATGGAGGATTGTAGGATTATACTGAATATATTGTAGTAGTAATAAACATAGATGAACGATTCGAATTGTCAAGAATATAAATGTATAAATATTTTTCAGATTATTATAATCAAACAAATACAAATTGATTTTTAAAAATAAAATAAAATGAATTTGTGGGGCCACACATGAAACAAAACTTTTTGTGACTCTTGAAAAGGAAAATTGGTTCTCCTAGAAAATTATTTTGACCATTAATTATACACTTATAAATTTATAACTTTGCCCATAAATAATGTTTAAAATTACATAATTGCCATTGGTCGTCCTAATCACGGCTCTTCTATATAATAGAAATAAAGTCAGATTGGGATCTCCAATAACAAGTGAACATGCATTTTCGGGTCCAAAACAAACAAAAGAAGGGAAAGACGGATGGTTGAGACAATGTTTCGTTTTCACTAGAGTACAGAGCTTCAAATTAAAGAACTATGTTTCATGTGGGAGGACGAAAACTAAGGAAGGTTGGTTCCAAGAGCGGCAAACAAGATAAATAAGGTGTGTAAGACAGGGCCAAAGAAGGTAGCATAGAAGAGAGTACCTCCTTTATTATAAGGTAGGTCCCCGCGTCCTTTCTTAAGAGATGGATCAATCGTCACTCGACAACTCAAAGTTGACCTGTATAATCCACGTACTTGCCTACTCGTCTATTACCGGCGCCTATTTGTATCCAACTACAATCAATTCCCTTATAAAAGAAAAAAGGGTCCTCGACCAATCCTCAATCGACAACAACGCAACTCTGACATCCTAGCAAAGTAAAATCTCTGCCCCTATCGCTTGATTGATCTGATCAGACACTTGCTCTTCCCAACTTTTATATATATAGACAACCAATAGCATTGTACTAATGTTTCGTGACTTTCATTTTAGCATCTATTTTGTTAATTAATTTTGTGTTTTTGCTTTAGCTTAACGCAACTCTGACATCCTAGCGAAGTAAAGTCTCTGCCCCTATCGCTTGATTGATCTGATCAGACACTTGCTCTTCCCAACTTTTATATATATAGACAACCAATAGCATTGTACTAATGTTTCGTGACTTTCATTTTAGCATCTATTTTGTTAATTAATTTTGTGTTTTTGCTTTAGCTTATAATTTTTTTACTTTCTGGAGAAAGCAACAAAAAAGTAACTTGAAATTGATGTGGAAAGGATAAATTTGTCAATTCTAGATTATTAAATAGTTTTGTTACACCTATTATCAAAGAAGGGTGGCATATGTAATTTTTGAAACCACAAATGAGGAATGGGCTATAAATCAAAATTTTAGGACCGATGAGATTTCTGAAATTATTCCTATAATTTATATTTGCTTTATAATTTATTTTTGCGCTTATACCGACGATACAAAATTCAAACCCACTTAAAGTTCCATCCCTTATATGTACCAGCCAAAATAGAATTATTTAATTATAATGGAAATTGCACTAAATAAACAAAACATTAAATAATTGACGGGGAATCTCCATCAACATGCACATGACCTTGTTCCCTAAAAAACATAGACTTCATGGTAATAAATAATTCCATAAAATAATTATTGATTATTATAAATAAAAAGATGAATAAATTAAAATAATCAAAATGCATGATTTTGGTTACTCGAAATAGGAGAAGAGGAAACAACATTTAAATGAAGGAATAAAACACTCAACCACTAAGACAGCGATGACAAACAAACCAAATTAACAACAATAACAACATATCGTAATTCTACATTTGAAAGATTATTCAAAAATTAAATAGTTAAAACAAATGTAATAATGAAAATCCATACTGAAAATATATAATGAAGAAGAGAATAACAACAACGATAATCGAAACAAGCAAAAGGAAAATAAAATAATAAAAGTTGAGGGACAATAATTAAACAAAGCCTATTAGTAATAAACAAGTTTGTTTATTGCTTCTTGTCCAATTACAAATGTCCAAAGATAATTATCTATATATTTATATACTACTAACTATCAAATAAAAATACAGACACCATGGAAATTGATTGCTTCATTCTTCATCAACATTTTTGAGTCTCCATTTATGAGTTGCTGAACTAATTGCTCAGCTCCTGTTCTTGCATTTCTCCATGGCTCTTGGTGCTGAAATTCAAGAAAATATTAATTAGGGAAAATCGAGAAAATACTTCACCCTATCTCAAATATTAATCATTTTGATAAATCAAATTTGTTTCCAAATATTTGAAGTATTCTTTCAAATATATAGGATAGTTGAGACAAATAGTTGTATAACTAAGGCTATTTATAAATATTATTTTTCACAAGGAAATATGTAGACAATTTTTAAAAAGAGATAATATTATAAACGGGAGGTAATAATTTTATTGAAACATAAAAAGAAAGGAAATACTCCTACCAAGTCCAATGGCTTCTGATCCTTTCATTATGCGTAAACGCTTGCATGAATCAACAAACATCCTGTAACAAATCATAATGTCACAAAAATTAGTCATAGTCATAAATCATAATTTACTTAATTAGTAGGATGAAAGATTGAAATTTAAAAGTTATAATCATCTATCGTTCACTATCTATAATAGATTAATTTACGTTACAACAGTTTAAGTTTGCATATCTCCGACTCATGAACTTAGATAAATATTGATAAAATTGTAAACTTACTGCCAAGGTACATCTCCAACAAGCATCCAGTCCCCATCCTTATCTTCATAGGTAGGTACATAGTCAGAACTATTGAGGACATCCATGAGTTTCCTCTCATTCATAAAATCTATCATTCCTTGGGACCCATAATTACCTGCATATATACATACATACAATTAATTAACAACCTACCTACCTAGCTATCTAGTGGAATTAATTATTACTAGTAAAAATAAAATAAAATGTATCACTATATTCAAAGGATAGGCTGTAATATCACACATATGATCATCATACTAACATCTAACTTTTCCCTTTAGTTTTTTCTTTTGAAAATGCATCAATTTATAGCCTAGCTAGCAACTAGTGGATATTATCAAAATAGAATATATTTTTTTTGTTATTTTGAATCTTCACATATGCTATTTTCTTCAAAAAGTTTACATGCATTTAGGATTTAACAAATTCTATCGAATTCAAACCTGATACCTTTAATTAAGAGCAAGGGAAGGGTATAACTTATACCACCTACTATAACTATTTCAGTAGATATATTTAATATGTTAGTATTATTGTACGTTGAGTAACTCATAGTGATGATAAATAAATAATTATATACTGTCACTGCATAGAAAATTATAGACGTACCCATAGTAAAGGAGCTAAACATCTTGGTCAAAGAATCAGAGAGTTGTTGGTAACTTTTGTACATCTTTAAATCTACCTTACGAAGGTAAGGTGCACCATCCATGGAGACCTTCACAAATGCTATTGTTTTTTCTCCCTTCTCACTAATTTCTACATTATTGTTGCCTTTTTGAGACATTATGTTCTTTCTGAATGATCTTACTGGTGGCCACCCCACCACTTGAGCCCTGCAATTTAAAAAAAAATAATAATAATAATTTTTTGGTACGATAAAAGTCACTACTGTTCATGCTTTTCGATGTTTAGTTGGTGAGTTAAACTATTACCCTCATTACAGAAAGGAGGAGGAATTAGTTTGAAAATTCATCGCTAATCTGTTGTAGCAAACGAATTAATGATGAATTTCTTTTGTTTTATAGGAGTAATTAATATAATTTCTGTCTTTTGTTAAAATTTATTTAACTTAATTTCTTATTTATTCTTTTAATAAAAAAGAATGTCCTATTTGTATATATAGTTAGCTAGTAAGAAAATTTACATTTAATTTAAAATAACAAGATTCAAATTCTTGGTTAAATATTTAAATTATTTGTTTGGTCAACTATGGCGCATAAAATGAATCAAAGAGAGTATATTCAATAATATAATTGAATCCATAGCTTTAAAGTAGTTGGACCTAAATTAAAATTCTGAATTTGCTACGGAAGAATTTATAACTTTTAAGTACTTAGACCTGAATTAAAATTCAGTCTAAGTAAAGTAAAGAGAAAAAAAGACTCACTTAGTTGGTGGCTTGAGAGAGTCCTTGTTAGAAGAAGTATTGTTGATGTTCATAGAAGGATTATCGAGGTTGAGTTTGAGATCAACAGTTTGTGAAAATCCTCTTTTCTTAATATTGTGATCTCCTCCACCACCAGGCATCCCCAAACATAACTCAGTTTCCTTGAGATTCAAGTCCATTACTTCTTTTTCTTCTCTACTATACAAAATAAATAATGATACTATATGGAAATTGAAGAGAGAGATATGTACTCACACAAAGTTTTGGAATTAATAATGTATAGATAGTGCTAGCAAAATAAGGGGTGCATGTATATTTATTTCAATTTTGTTATGAAGTTCTAGCGTATGGACCTCTGACACGTGGACATATACAGTATGTTGATCAACTTGGGGTATTACTTACAAGGCATGTTATGAAAAGAAGAGTTAAATTGTTTTGTTGGAAATTATAAGTTACTTGTTTGGGATAAGTTGATTTGGGTAATGCTAAATGGCCAGAAAATTTTAAAAGTGTATACTATTTTTTTAATTTTAAAATAAAGTGATTTTTTTTTCTATTTTTTTAATTAAAAAGTATGAAAGCTAAAAGGATAAAAATGTTTTAAAAGGTAAAATAACATAGGTAAAATACCATTCTGGCCAAAATAATAGTTGTTCACTGTACTATTTTGGGATGTTTAATAATAATTGTCCACTTTATGAAATCAATGGATAATTTTACACTTAGTTTCTAATTTACCCTTATCATTAATTATAGTCATTTCCCTATTACATTTATCAAGACACTGTATTTATTATATTCAAAGGATGATATAGTAAAATTACCCTTCTATTTATAATTTCTTAAGACATATACAAAATTAATAGTGGACAGAGTAAAAAAACTAGTAATCTGCTGTTCTTTTTAGTTTTTCTTATGAAGGGTTATTTGATTTTCTATAATGACAAAAATGGTCTCTTGTATAGGGATTAGTTCAAGTTAAAGTAGTTAAACTCTCAAATATTTTAATATATAAATAATCTGTTAAATTTGAGAGGAACCCTTGAAAAATAATAATCTAACCATAATCATAAAAAAATTGGATCAATTTCTCAAAATAGCAACACACAAAATCTGGGACTAAACACAAAAATTGCAAAAGTTACACCTTAATTGAAGGGCACCACCATTCTAATTTCTAGATTCTAAAAAATAGATGAAAAATAGCAAAAACCGCCTTCAATTATGAATTCCCACTAAATTCTTTTTTTTTTCTCCGTTAAAACTAACAGATAAAATTTATTAAGTATTTTCCAAAAAGACCAGAAGTGATTATTTTTTATAGACTCACATATTCGAAACGGCTTAAAAATATATGTAAAGAATTACTTTAAATCTATCTCAAAAATAATTTTGTTATTTTCCCAATCTAATATCGTAAAGATTCTTTTAGACTATCAATGTACAAAAATAAACTTACCTAAACAATCCGTAATTCTAAAAAAATATGTATTTTTCTTTTGTTAGGGATATGTAAATGTTAGTACTAATTATTATGATACCCTAATGATTTGTCTTTTTTTAAAAAAATATTTTCTTTTAATTTATGTCAAGTAGATGGGAAGTTTTTTATTGAATTTATTTTTAAAACAATGAAAATAAGAAAAAAAAATTAGACCATCTCCAATCCAATACCAAATTTTACACCAAATCCTAAATTTGGTGTTTTGAGCTCCAACCCACACCAATTTTTACACCAAATTTGATGTGTGAATAGTGTTACACTCTATTCATCACACCAATTCACTTTTTGAATATTTTAATATTATTTCATTATACAAGCTTTTAATTAAACATTATATAAATTGTATGTTTTAATTAAATATCTTGTATATTTAATTATTTTTTTTATGTATTATTTTTATAATATTAATTTTAGATATAAAATTTAGCCTTTTTGTACATTAGTTTTTCTATATCTGACTTTTAAAAAAAAATTAAATTTATGTTAATTCTACTATAAATTATAATTGGATATAACTACAATTAACCTTCACAAAAATTAAAAATGCAAATATTGCTCATTTTAAACTACGTAATGCATTAATAGAGCATTTATGGGAGCACCGTAGTGATCTTGAAAGTTGAATATTTATGAAGAATTTAAATAATTTTTAAAATTATGTAATGTTTATTTAATTGTATTTCATTAATGATTTCACTTTTATTTGTAGTATCCATTATTATGTATAATGTATAATATTTGCTAGCAATTTATATTATTTAAAAAATTATGGTACAAAATAATTTTATATTAAACGACTATAAAAGGAAATAATATGAATTATATATTGTGAATGTTTTAGAAAGAATTTATTTTATGAAATAAGAAATAATAATATAATAATGAAGGGAGAGAAAAATATTTTTTTTTGGTGTAAAATTTGATGCAATGGATTGGAGTTGATTACATCAAAAATAATGTTGACACCAAATTTGGTGTTTCGGTTGGAGATGTCTTTAGGAGGGAAATGCAATGATTAAGGTAACAATGAGCCTGAAGTGAGCTAGTAGTGGTCCAATAAAGAGCCATGATCAATCAACTCACCAGTGTAAAATAACATTTATAAGCTAAAAAAATAAATAAAAATAAAAAAGAGAATATTTTCTTATTCAAATATATAGTCAATTAATTCACGTATGACTTTTTTTTATTCATGTAGGACTTTATTATAATGTATCGTCACTTGCAACTTTATCCATGTGTTCCTTTTTCTTTTTCATCACAATAATCATTCGTCAATTTAGGTGAGTTTTTAGTTTGAAATAATTATATATGTTTTCATTAATTACAAATTTCATATTAGATTTCAAGTCAAATATAATTAAATTTATAGAATATATTTCTATTATCAAATGCACTAAAATAGAAAAAAAGATGTAGCAAGATAAGAAGAAAGTTAGATAAATTATCAGATACATGCGAATCGAGACAGGTAAAAATATAGAAATGTGAATGAAAAAGGTGAACTCCAAATACACATAAATTACAGAGCGGGAATCCAATTTCTTTTTTCCTTTTCTTCTGCCAGCAGACAGACGCGGCATTCTGTCTCTCCAATATATATATATATATATATGTCTGTCTATATATTTGCATGAATATATATATATATATATATAATTTTCTCTTTGATTCCATATAGTAATAACTAATAATCAATGGGATACATGTTGGAGGCAACATATACATATATCACGTACTGAAACTATGATTTAATACGTGATATATACGAGTCAATTATATATTTAATATTTGTAATTTCAATTTCAAGTACTTTGATGCAATTCATTTGTTCTTTTTTTCCCTCCCCTTGGTGTTACATTGTATTGACATTAAATGAAGATGGCAACTTAATTTCATAATTGAATTCTCTTTAATATTTAGGTTGACGATACTTCTTTTTTCTTCAATATTTTCATCTCAACATAAATCTTGCTTTTCTTTCAAACTTTTATTTGAGAATAATTTATTGAGCCAAGAGTCTATTGCAAACAACCTCTCTATCCCGTACAGATAAGCATAAGGTCTGCATACCGTCATACACCACACACTTTTCCCAAATTTCATCTATAAAAATATATTAAATAGGTTATTGTTGTGTTACATTAATTGATATGTCTCTATCTTGCTTTTTATCTCCTATTCTACTAACAACTTCACGGTAATTCTTAATTAACTCAGTCTAAATTCTAAAATGCTCATATGCATCACTAATATAATGAAGTACTCTTTTTAAAAAAACATCATCTAAATTATATTGTAAAACCATTGAAGTCAAGTTCCTACTTCTTGTTAGGTCCCTCTTAATTTGTCTTTTGATCATAACATGAAATTTAAAGCTCATGTACGTACTATTTGTTGAGTTGATGATCCATTGACCAAACAATTAATCAAACACGTACGTAAACAAGAATAAAACTTTGGACAATATTAAAGCACACTTTTGACTCCATCAAATTAAAAGAGATGTAACAAAAATTATAGTTTACATATAATATAGAGCAAATTATAGAAATCACATACTTTTAAGGCAAAATTACAATCTATCCCTTAAAAGTTTATAATTACAGAAATCCCTCAAACAGATAAAATAATATAAGCGCTGATACATTAATCTGATGCGCGAGATACATTAAGTAATCGTTAAGTAAGATACATTACATTTTATACATGATACACTAATGTGATGCGCGAGATACAATAATATAAGCGCTAATACATTAATCTTATGCGCGAGATACACTAATCTGATGTGCGAAAATGAGGGATTTTGGAGATGTGTAAAACTTATAGGGGACAATGGTAATAAGTAAATTAAAAGGTGGGATTTCTGTAATTTTTCCTATAATATATTCTTGCAAATTAAACTATGAATATGATGACACATTTTCTTTTTAACTTATCTATAAAGAGAATGACACATTTCATTTTACGTAGCCTAATGAAATGATTTATCTAAATCACAAGTTTCAAAAACCATTCTTTCTTTCTTAAACTTCAAGTCCAGTCAAGCACCAGAACATAATAAATAAACTAGTATCCCACAATATATTTAGTACATGTCTTGTTACCTAGCAAAAAGAAATGAAACATTTGTCCAAACTCAACTAGAAAAGAAATGGAGTACTTACTATGCATGAAAGTTTTTGGGGGTGTGGGGTGGGGTATAGCATGTTGTGTCAAAATTTCTCTTACAAGACACATGAATATCAATCAGTATATAATTCATTTGTAAGCTTTTTAGGGCATGGTAATGACTTAGAGACAGGTCACATCTCAAAGAGATGGAAAACATCCCTAAACCCTAGATGTGCCCTTTGTTCAATCAACATCCCCCTCCCCAACCCCATGCTCTCTTGTTTCTTTCTAACCTAACATAAAATGATATTAATTCATGACCCACAACTGAATAACAAGCCATCTCACAACCCAAATTATATACACTTTCTTTGGAGTAGCATAGGTAGAGTCAAAATCACACAAGCCAACAGTTTCATTTCTGATTTGTGGATAGCTCTTGGGGATCAATTGAACTCTCCTTATTGAAAATTGTACTATATGTGTACGTAAATAGCTAGAGTGAAAATAATTATATATATAAGTTGTTAAATTATCTTTATTGTTGTGAAGAAT